GGGCGCTCGGGCTCAGTCGGAGCTGGGGCTGGGGGTAGGAGGGCGCCAGGCTGCCGGCCAGGGTCTGGTGACGGGACAGCTCCCGGGAGGACCCTCGGCAGCCAGGCGGTGTCTCCTGTCTCCGGCATCTCCATTCTGAGCCCACAGCATGTTACCGCCGCTGTCGAATCGCGATGAATGAGGAGGCTTCTAGGGACCCACCAGACAAGCAAGACACACATAGTCACTTGATGGAAGGGTCGCAGGCCGGGCTGTTCCAACACCTCCTTCTCCTCCCTGCCCTGCCCCTCCCCCAAAGCAGGTCTCATCCTCGGCCCAGGAGAAAGATCCGATGGTCACTGACAGCGACCGCCGAGGCGCCCTTCCCGGCAAAGCAGTGCCCCCAGGCACCTTCCCACGGCCACGCTGGCTCGGCACCCGCTGGGCCACGGACGCAGTGACGTTGTTTTCATGCCTCCATCGCACTGTGACATATTTTCTCCTTCCCACAGTGGCTGGAGGTCAGACGAGGCTGCAATACCCTCCAGTTCTAGACTCCGAGCCAGTGCTGGACCCTGGAGGCCACACATCACGGAGGCGTCAGCCCAGCGGAGGGCATGGCCGGCGGCCGCAGTCACAGCTGGGCACCCGGTGGGCTGTTCGGATGCCGCGTCAGAAAACAAATGAGCTGCAAGTTCTGACATGGACTCGACACTGATGATGCCAAGGGATCCGTGTGACTTGTGAGGTGAGTCCCTTCTGCGAAGGGCAGACAGGGAACCAGGACGGCGTGTGCCCAGCTCTGTCGTCAGGGGTGAGGGGTCTCTTCTTCACTGGGAGGGAAAGGGCCCCTTCGCTCCCAACCCGCCGTCCAGCCGTGCTCTCTTCCTGCCACCTTCACCTGAAATAACGTTTAGTCGTCCGTGGAGGACAGGGTGGCTGTCCTGCCTTTCATCCAGTCTCAAATAATCCACCTGGTTTGTGCAGATGACGAAGCTGTGAGTGATGAGGATTACAGCGCACCCTGTCCGTCAGCAAGGGTGAGAGAGGAGGGTGCCGGCCATGCTGAGCCACATTCCCGCCTGTCTGAACGTCGGTGAGGCGCACACGTCGGCAATGACATAACACTGAGCTAGAAGTCGCCTTCCTTCTCCTTTTATGGGAAACTACATATACAAAAGCCTTTAAAAAGAGAATAGAATGAGATTCCTGTCAATTAACATCTGATTTATGAACACGTAGTGGAGATCTAGTGAAATCTCACCCCAGAGAATCCCCGATTACCCATTACTCTGATAACAGAGTCAGAGCCCACTGCTCCGTCCATGAGAGGGAGGAGGCGTAGCCTCTCGTACGCGATGCCTGGTGACAGTGAGCATCGCACCTCGAACATTTAATTTGCTGAAGCAGCAAAGAGGGGAAAGCAGCCACAATAAGATAAGGACTGTCTTTAGCCCCCGTGCAGGGGTAAGTGTTCAGGTCCCCAGGTGGCACCCAGGATGCTTCATAGGGAACTAACTGAGCCCGGGACAAGCCCGTCATCACACTGCCTCTTCTGCAGGACCTCGGCCAGAGCCAGAGGACACCCCCAACCTAAGGGCCTTCAGGGTGGCTCACGAGCAATCACTCCCTCTGCGCCAGCCCTAGTGCCCACACCCAGGGGGTGGACTGTCCTGCTCCAAAGGCTCCTGGAAAACACAGCCAGCGTCTCCCATGAGCACCAGCCCTCGGGACAGGCCAGGGCACGGATGCCCTAGGGGGAGGAAAGGTTCCCTGAGCAGCTGTGCAGTGGAGGCTTCATCAGTGATGACACACACACTTCCCACACGACACACAAACACACACCACACATCCACACATGTGCACACACACTCATACACACAGTACACATAAACACACTGCACATATGCACAACCTGCACACATACACACAGCACACGCACAACATACACAACAGCACACATATGATACACAGTACACATAAATACACAACACATACACACATGTGCACACACATACACACAGCACACACACTATACACACAACCCTACACAGATGCACACATCACACACAAACACACTACACATATGCACACCCACATACACGCACATAGTACACACATGCACACCCCACACACCAGCACACATGATACAAACCACGCACACATACACATGTGCACACATACACACAGTACACATGTATACTATATATACATCATACATAAACACATGACACCTATGTACACATGATACATAGTGCACATAAACACACCGCACACACACAACACATACACACATGTACACATACGACACAGCACACACATAACACAGCACACATAAAAATACTACACACCATGCATGCACACGAACACACATGCATATAGCACACATAAATGCACTACGCATACACACACAACATGCACATATGCACATGATACACATGTGGTGCATAGCACACATAAATGCGTGCACACCACACTGCATGCACACATGTGACACACAACACCCACATACATGTACACAACATATGCCTATGCACGTGCACACACAACATGCTAAACACACTATATACTACATGTTGCATATAAACATGTACTGCATATGTATGTGTGCACATCCATGCACTATACATAAACACATCACACATGCATATGATGTGCGCAAATAACACACTACATGCAACATCCAACATATAACACCACACCTCTATACACACTACACAGAACACACCTGCAAGCAGTACACACATGCATACAGCGCATAAACACACCACACATCCACACATGTGCACACACTCATACACACAGTACACATAAACGCACTACACACATGCACAACCTACACACATACACACAACACACGCACAACACACACAACAGCACACATATGATACACAGTACGCATAAATACACAACACATACACACATGTGCACACACTCATACACACAGTACACATAAACACAGTAAACATATGCACAACCCACACACATATACACACCACACATATAACATACACAACAGCACACATATGATACACAGTACACATAAACACACAACACATACACACATGTGCACATACACACAGCACACATAAACACACCAAACACATGCACAACCACCACACACAACATACACAACAGCACACATATGATACACAATACACATAAACACACAACACATACACACATGTGCACACACATACACACAGCACACACACTATACACACAACCCTACACAGATGCACACATCACACACAAACACACTACACATATGCACACCCACATACACGCACATAGTACACACATGCACACCCCACACACCAGCACACATGATACAAACCACGCACACATACACATGTGCACACATACACACAGTACACATGTATACTATATATACATCATACATAAACACATGACACCTATGTACACATGATACATAGTGCACATAAACACACCGCACACACACAACACATACACACATGTACACATACGACACAGCACACACATAACACAGCACACATAAAAATACTACACACCATGCATGCACACGAACACACATGCATATAGCACACATAAATGCACTACGCATACACACACAACATGCACATATGCACATGATACACATGTGGTGCATAGCACACATAAATGCGTGCACACCACACTGCATGCACACATGTGACACACAACACCCACATACATGTACACAACATATGCCTATGCACGTGCACACACAACATGCTAAACACACTATATACTACATGTTGCATATAAACATGTACTGCATATGTATGTGTGCACATCCATGCACTATACATAAACACATCACACATGCATATGATGTGCGCAAATAACACACTACATGCAACATCCAACATATAACACCACACCTCTATACACACTACACAGAACACACCTGCAAGCAGTACACACATGCATACAGCGCACATAAATGTACTGCATGCAAACACATGGCATGTGCACACAGCACACACTACATAGGCACATCACACACACATAAAACATGCACATGCGCGGCACACAGCAATAAACATGCAATGCACGCATGCACATACTACACACATGCAGACACAGTACACAAACACACTATACATATAGATGGCATATACACATATGTACACATAACACATCCACACATAACACACATCCACAGAGACATAAACCTACCTCCACACCCAGACATAGTGCACACACAACACGAGGATGTTTTCCAAGGAAGAGAAGACCTGTGCTCGGTGGCTGACACTTCAGAGAAGGCCAGGCTGTGGGACGCTTGCCCCACAGGGCACCTCCGCTCTTGGCAGAGCCCGCCTCTGCAGGCTCCCATCAGGTGCCCGCTTGCCCGTCTCTGGGTGGGATTCTGAAGGCCGGACACCCCCGGGGACTGCTAGTCCTCAGGAAAGGAGAGGAGGACAGAGAGGACCACCTGGGACAGACCAGCCAGGCGCAGCGGTGAGGAGGGACCAACGCGGCTGGACAAAACGGCCTGGAGACAGCGCGGCCCCCATCCCTGCGCTGGGCCAGCCGGAGGCCGTGCCGCTGACTTCTCTAGAAACACAGTGAGAACGTTGTCGCTGTTGGAAATGGTCTTAGGCTTTAGCCTGGCTCTGACGTGCGCCTGTGGTTCAGCTCAGAACAAAGGATTTGCTGCTCTGCTTCTCACAACGCGCCCTGCCATCCTCACCGCAGCCGCCGCCGGCTCTGGGCACGGCGTGAGCCTTGCAGAATCGGGGGCCAGTTGCCGGGCAGCCCTCCCCCACTGAGAACAACCCGTGAGCCATGATTGCTTGCGACCCGACGCAGCAACACCTGGACAGGGGGCCACTGGGATGCAAGGCAGCACACACGCACACACACACGCACACACACACACACACACACACACACACACACACACAGCTGTGCGGCCACACAGATAACGCTTTCTCCCAAACACGCTTTCATCACCTGAAGAAAACAACGTTTGTACAAAGCTGAGCGTCAAATGCCAGCTTCGTCAGTGAGGTGACCTGGACAAGGGGACTGCCTGTCGCTGGCTGGGTACACGATGTTTGTGATTCTCAGGTCAAAACAAGCGTGAGGACAGGGCGTGCTGCCCTCCGGGGGACCACTCTGGTGTGAAAGGGGGAATGAGTTTGGTGTTTTATCGGGTGAAGCCAGCACCCGATCCCACCTCCCCTCCCCGGAGCAGCGCCACCCACAGCCCAGGCCTCCTCCTCCCAGTGCCCCCGCCAGCCGGGCCTGGAGACAAGGCCACTTCATCCCTCGGGGAATTGCCCTCGAGCTCAGGTTCCGGTTCTGATCTGCTGGGCACAGGGAGGGCGGCCCAAGCGCCTCCACCCTGAGACTCCCCCTCCAGGGAGGGGCCAGAGTCCCGGCACCAGCAGGTCCAGGCCAGGGCTCCACTCACTCGCTCTCGGTCACGATGTAGCCATAGGCCTCCTCAGGAGACTTGACCTCCAGCCGCAGGCTATGGCCGGGGCCCTCCTGCTCCTGCGAGGCCCCCGGGACCCAGCGCGGGAACTCCCCAAGCCCGTGGGCCCTGGGCTCCGAGCGCGGCCTCGCCAGCAGCTCTGTGGAGTAGGTCCGGCTCCTCACGTTCTCTACCCCCGCGGTGTCCTCCTCCGAAGACAAGGCAGCCGCGGGGCCCTCTGCCTGCTCGATCCCGGTGGCAAGAGGGGCTCCAGGAGGGGCTCCAGGTGGGCGTCGAGACCCCGGGCCCTGCAGGACGTCCCCACCACTGAGGCTCACAGGGCCGACCTAGTGGAAGGAAAGCCACGTGAGAGGACAAGCAGGAGAAAGACTGTCCACGTGCCCAGGAAGGGAGGCTGTGAGGGATCACCCGTGGGTGAGGACGGCCGCGGGGCGTGCGGAGCTGATGAGGCTGCACAGCCTGTGCTAGAGCCACATCCAGATGAGAGGTCCTCAACCAAGTGGAGGATGCACATCAGAATCAGTCATAACGTTCCTCTCTCTTCCTCCCTCCCTCTCTCTCGCGCACACAAACACATACCCGTTAAATCTCAGCTTGCGCAATCAGCACAGGCTGTCAGCATCTATATGTTAAAAATAACCGTGTTGCCCTGGCTGATGTGCTCAGTGGTTAGAGTGTCGGCCTGTGCACTCGAGGCTTTGGGTTCAATTCCTAGTCAGGGCACATACCTAGGTTTTGGGTTCGATCCCGGAGGGGGCACATGCAAGAGAAACTGAATTTTTTATTTGCTTAATTTTAGTGACTTTAAGGTCAAGCAGCCACACGTGGATGGTGGCTGCCACACTGCTCGGTGAAGGTGAAACTGTCAGTGTGCCTATGCGATGCACCTGGAGGTCAGCACACGGGACACTCACGTATGAGGCAGTGGGATCGTGTTACCACACACCCCCAGATGGGGAAACCCTAAGGCATGCTAACCTTCTTCTTTGCAGTAACCACTTTTCATATTTCTACAATGTGCCCATCCTACAGTAATAAAAGGGTAATATGTAAATAGACTGACCGGCAGAACGCCTGTGGCCCCTTGCCCTGCCCGGCCCTACCCCCCAGTGGGCACCCCAACCCTGATCAGGGGCAGGGCG